CCTTATTAGGCAGGCACGAGACATTATGGAGGTAAGAGTTTACTGTTGTTAGACAGACATGAGACATTATGTAGGTAAGAGTTTACTGTTGTTAGACAGACATGAGACATTATGTAGGTAAGAGTTTACTCTTGTTAGACAGACACGAGACATTATGTAGGTAAGAGTTTACTCTTGTTAGACAGACATGAGACATTATGTAGGTAAGAGTTTACTCTTGTCAGACAGACACAAGACATTATGTAGGTGAGAGTTTACTCTTGTTAGACAGACACGAGACATTATGTAGGTAAGAGTTTACTCTTGTTAGACAGACATGAGACATTATGTTGGTAAGAGTTTACTGTTGTTAGACAGACACAAGACATTATGTAGGTAAGAGTTTACTCTTGTTAGACAGACACAAGACATTATGTAGGTAAGAGTTTACTGTTGTTAGACAGGCATGAGACATTATGAAAAATTCATATTTAGTGTAATTTCACAGTAGTAGTTAAAAGAGTCATAACCTTTTGTGACAATGAGTCAACTTAGTGTTGGTAGATTATTAGTGATGTGTAAATTCTCTATTCTGGTACAAATAGCCACAATAAGCTGTATAAAAGATGCTTTGCACCTATAATCTTCCATTTCTCATGACTGATCTATCATTAACTTCTCTGAAAGTTTAAAGTTAACCTTGCAACATGGTTGAGCTGTATAATATATGACAGTTGTAATAGTTAGGTATTTGATTCTACATTTTATATACGGTTTAGGAGAACCAGTGTCTTAGAGAAGCTAATGAAGAATTACAAGCTCAGTTACTGAACAACAGTGTTCTTGAAGGACGTAACCTTCTTCATCATGAAATGGTCTCGCTAGCAGAGGAGTTTGAAAACCTATCAAAAGACGAGGTAAACTATAATGTGGGAAATATTACGATTTATTAATCCACAGATTGGAATTTTGGTGTTAAGTAGTAGCACGATAGGAACGAGTTAAGTTTTATTTGAAGTTTGTATTCATGTGGCTACTTAAAACTCAAGTTAACCAAGTCATTTTGGGGAAGAGAGGAACTCAAATAATGTGAAATTTAAATCTTTGTTTTACTGATGTAAAGTATCCATCATATGAAATCAACAGTTCCTATTTTCATCAAAACAAAATCTTGAGAAGTGTTCTAGAGGAAGAGTCGTAAAGAACTCGATGTCATGTTTGAAATTATTATATTTTGTTACTTTTTATACATTTCCATGAGTATAAAGTCCTGAAAAGTTCTGCTAATCTCTACAGCCGTTACAGTTGTTACTGTAACGGATAGAAAAGCTGTATCTATCAGTATCTAGTTACAATCAGTGCGACTTAACTACAATGGTGATGTTTGAAAGATAATTTTCCTTATAAGTGTTACCAAAATTCAGGTTTTAAAATGCTATTCAACTTGGTTGCAGTACCAGTTTTAAACCACTGTGATATAGGTTTAGCCATGCCGTCTGTACGGTATCAATACGACAACTATAACCTTCTAAAACCACAGTTCTATATGAAACATTAATGATGGATTGTTGTTGTTGTTTTTTAACTTAGGTCATGGAGGCATTACAAGAGCAGCAAGAAGTGAATACAAAGTTGAGAAACTATATTGATGGTATACTTTTAAATATCGTGGAGAACTATCCTCAACTGTTAGAAGTTAAAATCTGTGGTATGAACAAGTGAGGATTGTTGGAGGTTTTTCCAGAAAACCTCTGACCTTTCACTCATCAAAATGCAGTGAATAATGTGTAACATTGTACTATAACAGACCAAACGACTTGAGTGCTTTCAGAAGTACCTCTTTAATGTAAATTTTCCAAAAATCCAAAGTATGGGCTCTTCGTAACCTAGAGCCAAAGTCACGGAATACTTGGCATGATTGAAAAAATATATACAAATCAAGAATAGAACACTAGTTTTATTTTACTTTGAAGATTTTTTGGAGTTTTATGTTATAAAGTTAACGAAGTGGTGGATACAGAAACCAGAAGAGAAACATGAAAATCCAAATCATGAAATTTTACAGCTGTGACACATAAATGAAAAATTTAAAGTATTTCAAAATCAAATTCTTGTAATAGTTTTGGAAAGGAAAAACAGAAACATTTCATTCATTATTATATAATTTATAAACTGGGTCTTGACTCTTGAGTACTGAGGTGAGAAACCACTGTAAATATTAACTGATCACGATACTCCTAATCACTTCCTTTGTGTGGTGTCGTCCAATTATATTTTTTTACTTACTCCGAGTAAATATTATAGAAAATATTTTTTGACGTAGTGTATTGTCATTGTTCACAAAGACATATCAAACCTAACCTAAACCAGTTTTTGTTTTTTTAATCCATAATGAGGTCATGTAGCTTGTACCTTAAGCTGCTATCTTGCAGAAAAAAAACAACATTCCTGGGTTGGTAGAAGTTGTAAGTAAAACAAATACTGGTAAGAGGAAAATCTCATAAGGTTAAAAATTAAAAAGATAATTGATGTAATAATAGTAATAGTTTGTTATAAATAAATTGTTTAAATCTATGTTAGGGAATTTGAAACATGACTTTGGTTTCGGTTGGTTAATATTAAAAAAAGTGATCATGAGAATATACGTGTTTTGAAAGTAAGAGATATTTATGATTGACATAGTTGGTTGTGTTTGTTTCTTCTCTGTTCATCTCTTAGGAAAAGTAATACACATGATGATGAGACAGATATAAGTCTTGTTAAGTAACGTCACCAAATACTCATTTTGTCATGTCAAGCCTTTTCTTTAACCCTTGGAAGGGTTTCTTTTTTTTCATTAGAGTAACTGGTGTAAATGTATGGTTGGAGATGATAAAGGGTTAATACCCTGTATCGAAGTAATATTACGGGCATTCCTTTAATCCGTCCACATCTTATTTCAATAATAAAAGAATTGAGATTTTTCACACTTTACCCTAATGTCGTTTAATAAAACATAATAATATATATATAGGTTGTTAACTGTAGTTTGGTAAATTTCAATGAAATCATTAAAAAAATTTATTTTGACACATTTCAAAATGTAGATTATTGCGTGTGAAATATTTACACTATCCTACCCAAAATAAATTTATCTTAAATTAATTACATATTAGTTGTTGTTGTTGTTTTATGATTTACTGCAGTATGACTCTGCTGGCTTGAGAATTTAATTCTGACCACACTTATACTGATTTAACTAATTTTCAAGTAGCTTTGTGTTTTGAAGATGGTTGGGTATTTGGAGGAGCTGATGTCACTGTTACTTATAGAAGTAATTGTTTATCAATACAAGACAATCTGTAATATTTGTTAGACATCTGTGATAAATGTCAAATTCTCGAATTATTTATGATAAAATAAAGTTGAGGTTATAAGATTGTGTTAAATGATGAATATCCGTCAGTGGGATCTGAATTGTATTATTCTGTGTTCTAGAGAAATGCTTTGAAATAAAACTGTGTGTGTGTGTGTACCACTGATCATAGCTGGCATTAAACAGGAGGAATCAAATGATTTCTCAGCCTCTTTTTACGTTGATAAATATCTCAAAACATTTACTTTTCCAGGACTACATTCAGGAATTACACTTAAAGGGTTGAAAATAACCAAGATCCAGAAGTTTATTCACAGATATGCAGACAGGGTTGAAAATAACCAAGATCCAGAAGTTTATTCACAGATAAGCAGACAGTAATTACACTTAAAGGGTTGAAAATAACCAAGATCCAGAAGTTTATTCACAGATATGCAGACAGGGTTGAAAATAACCAAGATCCAGAAGTTTATTCACAGATATGCAGACAGGGTTGAAAATAACCAAGATCCA